TCTGTGACGGGCGCAGCTCCTGGAGCACAGGCTCCATCATGGGCTGCCTCGAATTTTGTTTTAACAGACTGCTTTAATTTACTAATTCGTCTTTGTGTAGTAGCCCCGAGCGCTGAGAGATAACCGCGATGGAGACGCATGGTGTTGTGATAATTGGATTGAAACTTCACAAAAGGCCAGACAGTGTGAGTCACTAATTCTCTGCTTTCTCATCAGAGGCTATTAGAGCCTTATCAGACACCTGAAGGGATGAAGCATGTCAACACACACTCTCATGCGGCCTCGGTGAACCACTTGCCAGTCTTAACAATGCCTGCGGAGTGGCCCTGGAGGTGAATAGAGGGGTGTCAGCAGCAGAGATCAGAGTGAGGGGTGGATCACATCTTGATCTCTTCAAACTCCACTGATGTGAGTTAGGAGCCCCTCATTCCCCGGCCCTTTCACTTTAATGCCTGACAGCCCTGACCTTGTTTCTGTCTGCAGCAGCCCACTGCCTCCGAGGCGATTGCAGCCTTGACATTCAGCGTTTGGCCGGGCTCAGGGGGGGTTAATAATGTTAAAAGAAGCTGTTAGCAGGCCCCAAATAGAGCTATAATCCATCAGGGTTTGACAGACGCATTTACATTTTTTAGCTGCGCAGGATCAGGTTTTCACACACAGGTAAACATCTAGAGGTGTGAAGCACCTGAGGCCTCATTTAAGAAACACTGCCCTCGCTTAAAATTGTAAAATAAAGACGTCACTTTCTACTCAAAGTGCAGCATTTGTTCAGACAACAGTAGCAGAAGAATGAGCGTCACGTGGAGTCTCTAACCTGTGTGTGAGAACATGCAGCGAGGAAGGCTTGACATTGCAAAATGCCTGCAGTAATCATTTCACTCTCTGTTTCAAATTACTCCTCTTTTCTGCTAATTACTCACCATGTTACGACATGCAGATGAATAAGTGGCCTATGATGTGTTTTTGTATGCTGCTGATAAGCTTAACAATGGCCTCAGCCTGGGGCAAACTTCTGCCAGGCTCATGGGCCCTGACAGCAGAGGAGCATCAGCTGCTGACTGCTGCCTGCACTGCAGGGGGGAAGGGGGGGTGTTTGGGGTGGGTGTGTTTTGGGAGGTGTCCCCTGTCTGCCCCTTGACCCCACCTGTGAGTCTGGGGCTTGGGGTGACTGGCCTTGGCTTTGGTGTCCAATGTATTCTTCTTACAGTCTGACAGCTCCATTATTATGATGAAGATATATTAAAAAACATGCATCTTCAAATTTGATGGTTTTATTTCTTTTCTCAGATCAACTGAAGGATTAACTTCACCTTCCATTTGAAATTAACTGGATTATTCAACATGTTCTCATCCCAGCTCATCAAACATCCCTCTGCTGCTTTGTTAGTGGACCTAAACATCAAAAAATGACGTGCTTAGCGCGCCCACCAGCTCACCCAGTAGAGTGGGCGCCCCCTGCACAAGGCAGCTATTACCTTGCTGCAGTGGCCGCAGGTTTGATGCCAACCCACGGCCCTTTGCTGCAGGTTATTTAGTGCCTCTTTCACGCTATATCTGTCCTATCAAATTAAGGCAAAAAAATTAAAAAGAAATAACCAAAATATGACGTGCTAGGTCGCGTCCTGCGTCTGATTTGGATGTTTACGTACAGCGTCTCAACTGAGGCTTGTGACTTGCATTGTGTCTTTTAAAAATCAACTTACAATGCTGCTTGTTTTCAGGTTCATTTCCTGAAGTTGTAGGCCACAAAAGCACTTTGTTAGATCTAGAAAAAAGCATCATGGCTTGAGTATAAGTTGAAGTGTGTAGGATTTAGGGGGACTTGGTGGCGTCTGGCAGTGAATTGCAGATTGGTAAAACTTTTCTCCCGGCTAGAGTTTCTTCAGTGTTCATTGTTCAGGAGGTTTTTAATCGAGAGCTGAATTATCCACAGAGGTCAGGCAATTAAAAAAACAAAAAAAATGAAGCAGCTTCATGTTACAAATCATGACTGCAGAGGAGACCAATGCAACCGAGCTCGACAGCCACAGAAAGGTTCACAGGCTGAGATCATTGCCAAAAAAATTCAGTTTATTTAGAGCATCTGTGCACAAAAAGAAGGTGCTCAAAGTGCAAAAAAAGTGGTTAAAACAGCAGCAAACATTTCAGTCCCTGACTATCATCACAGCTACTGACATGAGTGCTTCACAGAGCAGATACAGACACAGACAGATTCCTACCAGGTGTGATGAATCAGTCAGCTGCTGCCACTAATTAGATGAGATCAACTCTGAGGAGCAGAGGCCTGACTAGAAAACCCCCACAACTATACACAGAAAAATAAATAAACAAATAATATATATAGTTTATTTTATTTTATTTATTCATGTATTTAATAAGATAAAGAATGAGACATTTGAATGACCTGATGTATGTGTATTCATATTCATTTTGGTATTTAATTAGGAGGGCGGGAGGAAGGTTTGTTGCAGCAACATGTTTATCACCTGGAGGTAAATAAGTTTAAGATTATTATCATCCCAGTTTTGTTTTTGCAAAGGCAGAACTTTCTCTTGTGTAAAGAAACACTTACTATGTGAATTCAACATAGTGTTTTATTATCAGGAGCAGACACTGATTCCCATCACATGCTCCTGTCCTCACACAGTACTGGCCTTGGTCATGTGATGCCTTATCCTCATGATGACTGATCTTAGAAATCCTGAGGTCATGAAGTCATATGTTTCTGCCGAGGTGGATGGTTGTGGCTAAAGCTGGTGTTTGAGATTAATGTTTGCAGTGTTACAAATAAATGTCATGATTTCAATGAGATCAAAATTCCCTCCCAGAAGAATCCCACCCATCCTAAAAGTTTTGACAAACCACCCACTGAACTCTACATTTTGTTGTGTATCCAAAAGATGCATGTTTTATTTATTCATGTAACTGATAAAATGTATTTTATTTCATATATGAATTATGTTCCCTCTTGAGGAAATGAGGGCATGCAAATGTAGGCTACTTATTTATTTTTTGTCCTTCTAGACATATGAACTTACACCTTGTTGTTCATCTTATTTATTCTACATTCATCACTTCATCACTACCCTGACATTGCCTTGGAGTATCATGTACCGTCCCCCCTCCCCCCTGTTCATTCTGTGTGTGATTCTGTCTTGTCTGCTTGCTTGTCGCTTGTTTGTTTTTGTATCTGTTATGTTTTGTCTCTATAAATTGAAAAAACTTTAAATTAAAAAAAAAAAAAAAAAAGATTATGGTCCAGATGTTGCGTCAAAGCTTTCTGTGCCCTTTTCATGGGTAGCTTATGTAACGCTGGAGGGGAATGCTTTTTGTGTGCCTTAAACACTACATTTTTTGGTATTTTTAGTTCGCCAGAATCAGCCTTAAAGGGACAGTTCACCCTCAAATCAAAAATACATATTTTTCCTCATACTATTTATCATTCAAGATTGTTTCGGCGTGAGTTGCAGAGTGTTGGAGATATCAACCGTAGAGATGTCTGACTTACGCTCAGCTGAGGAGGACGCCACTAATGTTTATATCTCTCACTGTCACAAGCTTCAGTGAGTAGATGCACTCTTCCTTCTGCACAGTGACATGATTCATCGGTGTAGTTCAGTAGAAAGAAAACAGTTCCTACATGAAACTGCTCACAACAAGGTATGTGGATTATCTTGAGTAACTGGGTCATGATTTCTGGAAAGAGACATTGATGCTACATTTTTTAAATGTACTTTGTTTGGTGGGAGAAGAAGGCAGTGGTGTACTCGAGGAATATCTTTGTCATATGAAACTCAAGAAAAAAATTAAGATGCTCTTGAAGAAAAGGGTCAGCACATGGGGAGAAAAGATGAACTTCAGGCCGGAACAAATGCATTCGAATTAAGTTGCAGGGTGCAAAAGAAATGCACCATAATGAAGACCTTTGGATGAAAACCAGTGAGTTTTAATGTAAGTCATGTTTTTTAATAAAGGCTTTTTAACTTGATTTCAGTGCTCCAAACATGAGTGCCTGAAGTTCATCTTTTCTCTCCGTTTGTTTTTTGGTGCTTCGAGTCGAGTGCCATCTGGTTCCATTATACTGGAGAGAAGGCAGACATCTCATCACACCAAAACAATCCAGACTAATAATGACATATAAAGCCCCGTTTATGTCACGAAAGCCACCAGCTCTGCAGAAACATCACCGCAGACACAACCTCAGTGTCCTCAGCGTGGCCCTGCCAGAAAACAAAATTGTCTCTCTGTATTAGAGAGTAAGAGCCTTAGCTGCTTTGCTCATTGAGTTTTACTTTAACAGATTTATGTCAAGTTTTCAAGGAACCTATCACTATTGAGGCTGAGCAAGTAGCTCAAGGAACAAGACGGCCATGTGGTGATTATATAAGCTGAGGAGAAGTATAGTGTTGTACAGCATGTTTACTTTTGTTTTCAGGTGCTGCTCTGTGGTTATTTCATGGAAGCTCTGACCTTTTGTGCCTTTTAAAGTTGTTGGTTTGGACAAAAATCTAAGTCATAATTCTTATCTTAAGTTGTACAGTAAATGATGCATATATGTGGTGCTCAGTTTATCATGTTCAGATGTAACTTCTCAATAAATACACATCAGAAACCTGTTCTCTGTGCACTGTGTTTGCCTTTTTTACTACTAGTGAACTTCCTTTCTGCAGGTTCAGTCAAATCTCTCAGGATTCCTTCACTCCAGCACAAAGTGTTGCATTACAGCACAGTTCAGCCCCGACATGTCATCAACCTGCGTTGTTGATTTTTACTCTCCTCCCACATTTTTGCAGTTTTTTTGCAGATAGGTGCAAATGAAAGAGACCTGACAGAGAGCAACATGGAAGATAACTGCAGGGAGTAAACCTGTACGACCAGATCTGATTAACTTCACCAAGTCTGTGATGTTAAACAGAAATATAACTGACACTGCTCCTGTGTGAGTGACTTACACTCTGCTTATTAAAGTGTGAATGAAAGAGAAATGAATTCAAAGCATGTTGATTTAACACTTTTTTATTTAACGAAACAAGTTACGTGTATGAAAATAAATCTTAGTAGTAAAATAAGAGTCATCGATACAAAAATATCAGCCTTTCCATCCATTCAGCATTCATCATTCCACCAAAGCAAAAAGCCAATCAGAGCACACAGTGAAATGCACAGCGGACCATCCAAGCAAACAGCAAACAGCCTCACTGGCTACTTGAACAGAATATTTACAGTCAAAGACAAACAATACTGTCGACGGTCTCATCATAGTATATTGTAACACATTTCAGAGCTCATCAGATCCCTCTTATAATAGTTCTCCTCCGCAGGACAGGTGTATGGATAGTCTGTGGGGTTGTAGTAAGGTGCATATTCGGGGGCAGAGAAGCTCTCCTGTTGGCCCGGCCAGCAGTGGGACAGGCAGTAACAGTCCTGGAGGTTGCAGTGTTGATAGTGGTAGTGCTCTGAGGGGAAGCTGTGGTAGCTGGACTCCATCCTGGTGGGTGAGTCGTAGCAGGAAGAGGAAGAGGAGGAGAAAGAGTCCTGCGGTGAGTAGCTGTTGTGATCCATGGGGTTGCAGAGCTTCAGCGACTCCGGTGGGGAGCAGGGAGCCTGGAGGAGAAGGAGAAGGAGAAGAAGATGGTGAGGATTATTTTGAGCAGATGTGTCAGGTGATGGACGTCAAACTGGCACAAGGCCACAGGCTCACCAGGGTTGCCTGTGAGTGTTGATACTGCTTTAGTTTTCACTGTGAATTAGGCTAATTATTCCTTTGTTGTGCTTCTGAAATTAAATTATTCCTCTATTATTTTTAGGCTGTTTTGACACAGCAAGCACAGTTATAGTCTCCCATTGAATTATTCTATCAAGCAAACAAAATTAGCTGCTCTAAATCTACCTACAGGCCACACAAGTATAATTATTACATGCTGAACTCAAGCCTCAGCAGATCTCTGGTGAGGGGATACAGCCATGCCAAACCTCTATTCTAAAACTATACAATTTAATGTTTAGTACAGCGTTAGAAATTGCTCATTAATGTAGGTTTATTCTTAAAAAATACATCCGTTTGGAGCAAATATTTATGACATGATAGATTATGTTTGTGCCGAATATATAAAAAGAGTCTATAGATAAGGATAAAAGTAATATTTTTGCAGTTAAAGCCAAAGGCAACTACTTATATCAAAATATGCTGTTTTCTGAATGGAGTTTGGTTGGTGTCAGTGGGCGAAACCTACCATCCCAGGGCCATAGTAGTCCGCATCAGAGGAGAGTCCAGGGCACCACGGCAGCTGGAAGGTGGGATGGGGAGGCAGGAAGGCGTTGTAGCCGCTGTCAGGGCTGTGGTTGTTGTTGTTGTTATTGTTGTTGCTGTTACTGCCACTGTAGCCGTTGCCGGGCAACACCATGTCGTCGAATTGCTCCTGGATGTCGTTGAAGGTGCTCTGCTGCATCAGGTTGTTGCACGAGCTGTCAGGCACGGGGAACTGGGCGGTGCGCAGCTGGAAGGCTCGCGCTCCACAGCTGCTCGCGTCCACTGGGGCAGCGGTGGGAGGAGGGTCCACATAGCGACCTGACGGAATTAAATAGAAAAATTAGATTAAAAATATTCCAAAAAAAAATATTATAAAAATGAAAACTAGTCTCACTGGCTGCAGTTTACGCACGACATGCCTGTGATATATATTAACCTACACATCGGCTGTGCACCAAAGTGTGAAAATAGTTCCACTCACGATTTATGCTGCATTTTAATTAAAAGATTTTAATATGTATTTCCCTAATCTGCCCACATAGAGAGTCAGTGGTTGAGGGGAGAGCGCAATCAGATATGGTGTAAGGTAGTCTCTGTATGCAGACCACAGGAAGACATTTAAATAGGCCTATAAGTTCAGAGAGTGATGTCACAACAACATCAGCCAACACATTTGAATGTGTTCGTTTATAAGAGGGGACCCTACACTTTTGGAAAGTTTTGAGCTGTCAATAGATGACTAGAATTGCATTCCAAGTAGACTTTTTCTGAGCATTTGGTCATGACTGGGGCTTTCATGTGAGTATTTTGTTCCTGGTTCATGGCAGGTTGTTGCTGTCTGTCATTAAGGAGTGTTGTTGCTTTTGACTTTGCTTATTTTAGATTAATCCAAATACAGAATCCTGATCTGTTTTAGGTATCCTCTTGAAGCCAGGGTGGATTTTTCCAACATCGTTCTGAACATTTTGGATTCACAGCGGTTATGGATGGATTTTTATTTTGGATCATTGCAAAGTGCAAACAGATTTTGACTTGGTTTTGCAAAGTGTGCATCGAAACTGCGGGTGTAGCTTCTGATTACTTCATATTTAGGTCGCTGCGTGTGTAGCTTTAATCGATTCATTTAACTTTTGTGGACTTGGATACTGCAGCTAAACTTACTTTGAAAAGAGGAGAGATCCTGGAGATTGGAGCAAGCCTGGTATATCTGTTGGTCGGGAGGAAGAAGACAGAAAAGAGAAGGATCGTTAGACACTTTGTCATATTTGACTTTGACAAATATAATTTTGTTCTCACATTTGGTGTTGCTTTCCTTGCAAACGTGTGTGTTTGTGCACAGTGTGTATAGTGTGTGTGCGTAATGGCCTTAAAAAGACGTTGGTGTGTTTTTTTTTAACTGGAAGGGCAGTCAATCATTTACAGGGGCAGTTTATTGCTTTGCACAGTTTTTTTTCTCTCCTGCTTTGTCAGACAGTGACAGTGGGGGTGTACTGGGGGGAGGCAGAGGGGGAGTGGGGGTGGGAGCAGTGAGGGAGGCAGGTTTACCGTTTTAACTTTTTTGCTGTTGGCCTCCCGGGCTCTGTGCCTCTGGAGCAGCTCTTTGACCGTGGTCTTCACTCGGACGCCCTGGTACACCCTTGGCTTATCTGCGTGGAGAAAACAGCATGTCAGTCATGTTTACTAAACACTCTCCCCCTGGAGGAGACAATAGCAGACACTGACTCCTCTCCCCCTCCCACACGCCTGACCCCCTCCCTCCTCCTTCCTCCTCCCTCAGTCTCAGCTCATGTTTTCTTCCCTCAAATCCACAAAAAATGAAATGTCAGATATGTTTTCTGAATGACCTGAAACCTCTCCATCAAATGATCATGTCGCCATGTTGTCCTGCACTTTAATAAAATGTTGGATGCGGGATTTTGTGGCACAGAACGTTGGTAACACACACATATAATTTTATATTAAACAACAAAATGTGGTTTGAACTGTGTGTAGTGCTTGGATGTGAAGTTTTATCCGAATTCGCGGTGCGTAAAAGCGCATTTGTAGCGCAAAATACGCGTTTTGGCTCCGGGTATTTTCACCCACTTGTCCCGACCCCAGCGTCCTCCAGTGTTCCCGGTCAGGGCTGCCTCTTTACGGCACCACAAGCGTTTCCTATTACGCCGTCAGCAGACCCCTTTCACTGCAGCCTGTGTGTGATCCGCGGCCACTCCGCCCAGACCAGGAACAAAGGAAATCGGTACAAAATACGCCACCGTAAGTATATATTTATGATCATAAACGCATAGGTGACAGAGTGGATGTTAAAATTGCGAATCTGGATCGGTCAGGAGGCTGGAACACGCGTTGGATCGCTTGGTAAAGTTGAATAATGGCGCTCGGGGCGACCGCGTAAAAACGTACAAACAAAGAGCTGGGAAGAGTCTGTGTGCAGCGATCGGTGACTAAAATTCGAATCTTGTCTTAGTAACCGTGTTGAAGTTGTTGATCTGAGCTACAGATGTGCGTAAACGTCGACAGGGGAGTAAAGTTTGTATCGGTAACAACTATTCATGTAAACAGTCTATACGCTTTACGCACGTCACCTCCACGTTGTCCGGACGTTCAGTACAAGCACAGTTTGGGCTTCGGTTTGTTGTTTGGTGGAACTTTTCGGGAGCAATTTCAGCCTCATGCTGTTTATAATATAAACCGAAGCTCTGTTCAATCTCTGTTATTTTATTCAAATCATCCCTGCCCCGATTTTGGAAAGAGTGAAACTCTATGGCGTTTATTCAGAGAACAATTAGCCGTATTTTTCCTATAGGTGAAGCTTGATTAAGGAACCCAGAAAGAACGCCTCGCATAGGTGCACGTAATTTATTCCTAAAGGCGTAATTTAAAGCACTCAGGAGTGGCGAGCCGTTTGGAAAAAGGCGATTTGATAACGAGACTAAGCCTCTGCTGCGAGACATCATCTGATAAATATTCATACAGCTAAATGCTACTTCATGATTTGTCTTAAATGTGGCAAATAGTGGGGCAAAATTACACAGCAGACACATCCCACTCCAACACGGTTACTCCTAACGTCCTGTTACGCACGAGCAGCCCGGGCTGAGAAGCTTTACGGATGAAATGTTACATCTAGAAGTTATTAATCTTGAATAAAATGTCTTATAAATGACCGTCTGCATGTCGCAGCATGTGCAAACAGACGGTTAACACAGAAACTGAACATATAATAAATCCATAAAAGTCGGTAAAGCTGTACAAGAATGTTTGAATGGGAAAAGCCGACTCTCCTGATCCTCCCATCACAAACAGGTGGCATTTAAGTACAAAGATTAATCACATTAAGTTTAATTTCACTCGTGGTCATCTCATATAAGATTAAAATTTGTGACCAAAATGAGCATATGTGGGGAAAAAGCCCCCCCCCACTTTGCATGTGACTCAGGTGTGCTTTTAATTTTGCCACTAAACATTCTTCCTTTTTTCTCTTTTCTCTTTTCTGTCTAACAGGAGAAAATGCTACAAAATGATTTCCAAAGGAAAATCCGACGTGAAACTCACCAGACATGATGACTTTGATGAAGAGAGGCTCCCTGGAGAAGACCTGTGGGACTCCACAACGTCCTTTTCTGCCTCAGCAAAATGGCCAAGAACGAAATTTGTGCAAAAGTCTCCAAAAATCTCAACACAAATGTCCTACAGCAGAGCTAGAGCATACAACAATATTGTAATATAGCTGGGGACATATTAGTTTGAGATTTTCTCCCTCCATGCCTACTATTTAAAACCCCTAGAACTCAATGATTTGACAATGATTTGATTGCGCGTTACTTTCAATTTGAATATTCAGAGGCAACCGAGTTATATCGATTTTTCAACAAAAATCACTACGCGTAGACATTGTATAAGCTCCACTTTAATGTAATATAATAGTATTTTACACTTTGACCAAAAAGAAAGCATACTTTTATTAATTTTATCCTCCTTTTGCAATATCAGAGCATCACACCCCCTCATTAAGCACTACAGCACTAGGTGCTTCTTGTGCGCAGCTTTAACACCAAACTTCACCTTATATCGGCGACCACACATCTACTGCGGCCTCTCTGCGTGCCAACAGTATATTCAAACATAAATTTATGCTTTATTTCTGAGAAAAATGCATAAAAGTGGCAAAGAAGTGGGCGTGGCAAAGGGCAGCAGCCATCTTTGGCATCGCAGGCCTTAAGCTGCTCCATAAGTGCTGTGAGTGCACTCACCTGCTGAAGGCTGCAGGGACAAGACTCGGCACCCTGAAACTTTTACTATATTATCATTTATACACTTTGAATTATTAAGAAGAAAAAATAATTGTGGAATACAGGAATGCTCCCAGTAGAACCCCACAGCTTGACAGCTTTTTTGAATAAATATTTAAATCTAATACACCTTCTTACCTCAGCACTAAATCACCTCTATCCAAATTCACCACACTTGATTAAAACTAAAACAAATTTATTTTTAAATCATTTTTAATGAGGCTGCACTCAACACTTCGGTGGCTCCATCAGTGCATCAGACAGCAACAGTACATTCACACCAGCCTGTGCAACATGCTACACTAATTTACAATATATATATTACTTTAGAGTATTTTGCTCATGAAAAGTCACTAAATTATCAGTGATAACGACAAAATCAAACACAGCTGTAAACACCTGGAGCTGTCAGGTCTCTCAGGTCACAGTGCGCAAATCATATGCAGAATGTCTTTATCTTATTTATCGCTGGGTGTTAACTGGGGTGTAAGTAAAGTTAAGATGGGGTTTATATACTTAATATCTAAGATTGTTGTTTATTTATCTATATTAATGGTTGTAAATAAGTTTGGGATAGCTGATGACAATTTAATCTTTAAAAGAGAGATGAATAGTGAGAAGAGGGAAGGATTATATTACATCAATGTGTAGTTCTTCCTGCTCCTTTTTGAGCATGTTTGATGATTTTTGTTTTTAATTTAATTTATTTATTGCTCGAAATTAAGTCATTAATTCATTTATTCATTAAACCCCATTATTATTAATAATAATATTATTAGGCTATTATTATAATTTTATTTTGTATCTATTTAGTTTTTTGTAGTTATCATGCCTGTTATAATTACCCTTTTATAACTACAGCTAGATGAAAGCCTAACACTGATATAAGTTACAGCAGCACTCAGTGGCAGCAGCTGTGTCTCCACTCTGTAAAGACAATATATAATATATATAATATTTTGACCCATGTCACATGTTTGTGTTTCATATTCTGACACTCTCTGTTGATCCGAAGCACATCTCTTAAGGTTTCCTCTTCTCATCCTGACACACATGAGCTCCTTCATCCTCTGCTCTCTGCTCCGTCTCATTGCAGTCATGGTGTTCCTCCCTCTTGTTGCAGAGCAGCGGCTCCTCTGCTCCCCCTGCAGCTGCGGTGTTGGCGCGCCACCTGCTGGTGTCAGAGCACAACGTCTCCCCGGTCTGTAACCCTGTGTGTATCATACATTTACTTTTATAGGTCTAACAGCATGAACTGGCTAGTATTAAAGGTTTTTTATGTTCACAACAAATGTAATTCCTGATGAAAATTAAAATCCATGTCAGATACAGTTTTGAAAATGGTCTGCTCTAGTAGAGACACACACAGTAAACTTTTATTTATATACACTTAAATTCAACCACTATTCCACCTAATTCTGAAAAAACAACACACAATCCCATACAGAGCAATGCTGGAATGAGTTTCTTAATTAAAATAAAGGTGTTTCATATTAATAGAAGCTCATTAAAAATGACTTCCACATACATCGAACATTAAAAAGACTTTAGTGTTTCTGTTGAGACAAGAAATCTGAACTCACTGCCTGACTGGAAAAGCCTGCAAATTAAAGACATTATGTCTTAAGGCCTTTTGGATAAGACTTTATTTTTACCCCCATATTTATCATCTGTAAACAGTTTATACAAATAATTATTAAATGGTTTATAACACACTGCGCTGTAGTTGTATGCAGATATAAGGATATTTGTGAGGTAATTTAGTTTTTGTTTTATTCTATTTTGTTATTTTTGGTTTGTTGTTGTACTCCGTAAACATTCTGGTGACAGACAACTGACAACATGTAACGTTTATAATATTTATTTTTAAATAATCATGTCGTCACCAGTTTTGAATGATTTTCTTAACAGTTTTAACACCTGTGAATGTGAACACAGTTCATATATTTGTTTTAAGGTACTATTAAAGTGTTTCTATCCATTCTATTTATCTAGGCTAATTACTGTATCATTTGTGATTCATAAAAACTTTATACTGACAGTATATCACATCAGAATTTATTGTAATTTCATTTTTTTTTTCTTTGTTTTGATGTTGTTCGCTGTAAAGTGTCTTTCAATATCCAGAAAATCCAATTTATTATTATTATTTTATGAATTATTATTATTATTAGTCATAGTAGTATTAGTATTAGTATTGTCTTTGTTGAAAACTATATCTCCTTCATAAAGCTTGGGTGTGTAGACAGACAGCTGACAACATGTAAGTTTTCTAACATTTTATCATAAATAAATAATCATGTCATCACCAGTTTTAAATGATTTTCTAAACAGTGTTAACATATCTGTGAATGTATAAACAGTTCAGACATTTGTTATAAGACACTGTTGGGTGTTTTTACATAGTAATTATTGAATCATTTGTATTTCATAAAAACTTTATACCAACAGTGTGTCACATTTGAATTTTTTAAATCATGTTTAATTCCACTTGATGCTTCACAAATATTGATTTTAATGTTATTGTATTAGTGCATGAGTATATGTAACCTCTTCAATGATTTCTGACACAAGTCGCTGTAACCACACATATGGACCCTGAAATGTGTAAAAATGTGTGTTTGTAGCATTTGATGAGACGAAACATTAAAGGAGCCTTTATGTCTCACTTTTTGTTCTGTCTTTTGTCATTTCTTTTTAACTTTAAAGATATGTCATGGAAGCTTTACTCTGGCGTAGATGTCAACAAATATTATTATTCAACATCAGGAAATACACTTAAATCTATTTACAGCCATAGTTTACACAGCACAGTATTGTTTATATGGTGGTTTTGAATGCTACACAGCGGTTTCGCTGTTCTTTGGTTTCCAGAAAGCAGAACTTTTAGATTTTCTTATATCTTGAAGATGTTCATGAACACTGTCTTCTATAAAATGGATGCTGCAATGTTTTTTCATGCAAGACATAGTGATAATGGAGCAGTCAATATATTTACTCTTGGTCACTTTTTCAGTGAGTTTGCCTCCATGCTTCTACCTCTTCATCACTGCCAGCTCAACCTTAAAGCCATTTATCCTTTACTTTTAGCCATGTAGCTTAAACGGATGGTTTGAGACTTTTGATGTGAGGTTGTATGAAGTATTTATCCATAGTCAGTGTGTTACATACAGTAGATGTCAGTCGGCACACCCCCAGTGTGGTGAGGCAGGCTGGAGTCTGACATGGAAGCTAAGCTATGTACTGCTGTGGAGGGGTCAGTGATTAAACATGTTTTAACCATCTAAAAAAATCAATATCATTTTAAGTGTACTGTATATTTAGAGTATTTTTACTGCTTTCCCTTTCAGCTTCAGTTCCCATCTATGTTCTGGTCAAAGCCAGTCTCCATTGAGAAAAACAACAATTTTAGCTCACTGAACACAGGAGCTGCTGGTCTACTGCTGCTTCAATCGGTTAGTTGATTTGTGTTATTGTGTGACTTTGGTGAATCTGAGCTAACGATCGCAGCTGCAGTCACACAATGACACAAACAAACTAGCTTTTAGAGGCAGCAGTAGACCAGCCGCTCCTGTGTTCAGCAGTGTTAAATCACTGTTTTTCTCAGTGGAGTCTGGCTTTGAAGAGAGCAATATAACAGCTTCATTTGCTCATTTGAAATCACTGTCTACAGTAAAGTAAAGCGGTGAAATTATTCTAAATATAGCCACATTTAAACAGTTACTGATTTTTTTAGGGTGGCAAACTTATTAAGGTGTTGTTGCTGACCCTTTCATAGCAGCACATTGCTTAGCTTCCATGTCAGACTCCAGCCTGCTTCTCCAAACTGGGGGCGTGCCAACTGACATCAACTGTATTTAGCATACTGTCTATGGATAAGTACCCCAAACAACCCCTCTTCAAAAAACCTAAACTATCCCTTTACCTTCTCGGCTCATATGCAAACTAGCTCTCAGATGCTGCAGCACAGCACGTGGCGTTAAGGTGTCACGGCTACTGCAGGTCTGTGCAGAGGCTTGTCCCATGCTGCTGAATTCCTGGTTATTGTGGCAATAAATACACTCCAGATCAGCCATTTTGAAATCCTACTTGCATGTTTATTTTCAGCTAAACACAGATATGTGAACATATGTACAGTATATAATTTAAATCAGACTTTAACTCCAACTAGACACTCTTAGCCTGCACCCACTGGCAATGGAGTAAGCTGGAAGTTTATGGTTCTTTGTAAGATGCTCAAACAGTTTTTAATAACATGAAAGTTGACCTTCTTTAATCAGCTAAACTACATTTTTGTTGGTTTGTTTTTCAGTTTTAAGGCACATGGTGTGTTTTGTTAGTCCGTTCTGTTTCAAACAAATTAAAAAAAAGTCACACTTTTTCTTGTTTACGAAATAGTAGGCTCTTCAACCGGCTCCTACCAACACATCTACCAACTTGAATGCTCTCTCTGTAAATAAATGGATATCGTCCTGTCTCCAAAACACTCCACAGCTGACTGATTTTTCTCTGGACTGCCAAGTGCTTGTTGAGTTCATCGTTTAATTGTCTGTGAAACCTCCTTCTTCTAAACTGTGACCCTCTGACCCATCATCCAGTCAGTAGGCCCTCCTGATCTCGTAGGGCGACCAGGAGCTCACTCCGCTCACTCCGTCCTCTTTGGTCCAGGACGATGGGGCCTCGCTGTTGGCAGGGAGGCCAACGTGACTCTCAGCGGCCTCCTCTGTCACCATCTTGGACACCAGGTCACTGATGGGAGTGCTCATGTATGGTGGGCAGGGAAAGGAGGTGGAGGAGACTGGGTAGGAGCTGCTGGTGGTTAATGGGTGGTAGTGGGCGTCCTCCAGGGGGTGCAGGGTGTAGGGCTGGCTGCTGGAGCTGGGGCCCATGGAGGAGCCTCGGCTGGGGGAGCGGTACTGGGAGGGGCTCCCTGGAGGCTCAGGGCTGGGCATGGAGGGCGGGACGCTGACTGAAGCCAGGCTGTCTGGACACAGAGGATCCACCTGGGATACTGGCTCTGGGACCGACTGCTCCCACGAGTCTCTCTGAGGCAGGAAGACAAGACAGGAGAGGACAAATTATTCAGTCATTTCCTCTGCCGGCTAAAGGAAGCGTCCACCATCAGATACCGTCAGACTGTTGGCTCATATCAGAACAGGAGTGCTTTGTTATGGCATGATGTCATTTATATTCTTCCTCAGTCTGTGTGCTACTTTCATTGATATCCTGTTTCCTGTAATGTCTAGAGAAAGGAAATAAAAGACATGTTTGACGATGTTTGAGAATTTGGGATTTAGTAGTGTCAAGCAGTGCAACCAGTGTGACTTCACCTGGCTTGTTCAACATCTGCTTTCCTTTATTTTCTGATAACTTCCAGAAGTTCAAGAGGTGTTTTCCAGGAGCTGAATTGGTTTTGATTGTTTTAGATTGACTGAAGGATTAAACTGTCCTTTGTAGGTTGAGAAAAATTCTCCCTCCATTTGAAATTCAGTGGATTATTTGACATATTCTCATCCCAGCTCATCAAATAGACTACTGCCGCTTTGTTAGAGGACCAAATGTCAAAATATGATGTGCTAGGTTGCTTCCTGCGTTTGTTTTGGATGATCTCGAACAGTGTCTCAATAGAGGCTTGTTACATGCAATGCGTCTTTTCAAAACTATCTTACTACATCGGTAAAAACTGTTTTTAGGTTAATAACCTTAAGTTCAGGCAATAAAAGCACTTGGTCAGGTTAGAAACATGGTGGTGCAACATACTGATCTATATAAACGAGTCCTCACTCTCTGTGTATTTACAGCTCATTCTAAGGTAGCAAAAACACAACATATAAGTAGTGTTGAATTTTGTCCTGCACTATGAGTGACTGGAACTAAAATAATTACAATCTCTAGATTGGATCATAATCAAAGCACCCTGACAACGCTTTCATACACAGCATTCAATCCTTGTAGGCCACTGCTCCTGTACTTTTACATTTCTATGGTGGCAACAAAAATATAAGTTTCTAATTTGGGGAAAAAACACAAAACACCAATATGTGAAAAACGCATTTGGCTTGAATTATTCAGTTTTCAAAGACTAGAATATGTGGAGTATACCTCGATGTGCACTTTGTTGTTTGAGCAGCTGCAGATAACATGTAATATCCACTTATGAATTATCCACTTTTTGTTCCAAGTACTTGCAAATCTGAGATTTTCTTGAGGAAGTAAATGAGAAAATGTTCCAACACACTGGACCTTTAAGTCTCAATCGTAATCTGATGAGGTAACCCAGCATCAGATTTCTTTTTTAGCTCCCTCCAGGCACACAGAGGACAATAAGTCATCTGGGGGTTCCATAACGTTTCGCCATCTTGAGAATACACCCACCGGCAGAGGACATACAGCCCTGCCTTCTGCGTTTTCGTTGAGAGCCAGACCAGCACTGCTTGACTGAGAAGCAGAAGGAGAGGAGCAAGAGGTGCTTCGCTATTACTCCGGCACTGCTGCAGCATAACAAAGTCCCACTCTTTGAGCATACTGCAGGATCATGCATATGCAGCATCACGGGAGACGGAATCCTCTTCGCCAAGAAAGCGCAAAAGGGAATCAAAAAGGCAACGTGACCAGCGAATTCAAAAAATGAGGGTCAACATCGGGGTAGCCTTTCCCAGGTGGAGAGAGCTGCTGAAGGAGAAAGGTAACGCAATCACAGGCCAGCGCCGCTGTTGGCTGTTAGCCGCTAGCCGCTAGCCACTATTAGCAGGGATGGGCAGTATTTCTATTACTTGTATTTAAAATACGTATTTCAATTACATTTGAGTATTTTGCAATTTGTATTTGATAAAGCTGATAAAAAGCATTATTAGTATTTAAAATACTCAAAATACTTTCTCCACGAATCAAAAACAAAAATAATAGACCACACATTCTTTTAATTTTTTAAAAAAAATATTTTTATCTATATGTTTTTTTAAACTTGGGCCATTCAATGTGCCCTTCGATGACCTAGTGGTCTGTTTTACTGGACTGTGCATAACATAGGAAATTGTATGTTGTTGTGGTTGATGCTTTGGATGAGTATGCTACAAATAAATTGCCTCACGTGGGATCAGTAAAGTCGTCTGAATCTAAATCTGAATCAATAAATAATATTTTAGGGTAGCCTACGTGTCCCTAGCTATTTTTTTTCTCTTTTTCATTTGAAAAAAGTTGAACACAGGGCTCCAAAGGCTCCAAGTCAGACAGCAAACAAGTGAACTAGCTACAGTAGCTACAGTATCTTGCTGCTGTTTGGCTAGACCTATGGTGGACAGTTCACAGCACAGCTAGACTAGACTTGCCAGGCATGCTGCTCACGTGGATGGACCCACACTAGCCCAAACCTGAATACTTTGCTATACCAAATTGTGAGAAAACAAGTGCAGATTTACAATAGCTGTGACCAAATTTGCTACTATCACGCCATTAATGGCTGAATCATGGTTGTTTTTCTGGCATAGTTACGTGTGGTCTCTAATTGCAGCATGTACATTTTGAGCATTTTTGGTCAAGGACTTTTTGAGTTATTCACAAAAAGATTTGAATCGGTTATTATAGCACCACCTATCACCTATGGACGATTCGTGGGCATTCTTTCTGGTATAGTTACTCGTGGTCTCTAGTTGTAGT